AAACCTCAGCCCCAAACTGATGATACGAATCAAGTTTTACATGCTACGTCCTGTATGGCTAGCGTGGTTGGAATATGGGGAGTTTACCTGTAGATAGATAAAAACGTTGTAGCCCTCTGATAGTTGGGATAAGTCTTCTACAATATTATATAGGAATCAAATCTAGCCACTCATTAAGCAATCTCATGAATTATTTCCAATGTTTGTGATAACAGACATACATAAACAATATCGACAACAAGTTCAAAGTCGATAAGGTTGTTATCTGAATTGGTTTGGGCAATGGGATCTTGTAATAAGGGTTTGTACCATCGATATTACCTATCGCAAAAGTGTTGTGCCGGCTCGGTTGAGTTATTAGGAGACAGGGGAATGGAAAATGGGCTGCTATATTAGGAAAGAGTGGAAAATAAAGGCTGGTGCACAGACGCTGTTCATGTACTACAATCTCTTCACCTGACGTGTTTAGTAAATCAATCTATCCAAAATAATATCATACTTCACATCATCCATTAGATGATATTATCAATCGTCGGGATGCACATCTAGCATCACCTTCATAGATCACCATTGTCAGTAAGAGTTCACATTTGATACCTACTGACACCCATTTGGCCACAGTTATACGCACTCAGAGTCCATTGTGCCATCACCCAGCGTGAGCGCGCTATCTCTGCGACTCACCATTGCACATGAGCCCGTGCCGCTCCATCGACAGACAGCAGAGTCATAATTGCCATATACCTCACAGCTCATTACCACAACAAAAAGCTGTCACAATTGGCGAGATCTTTTCGATGAAAGGCGCGACTAAGGCCGCACCTTCTGTTCCCGCCTTGGACCTCGCCCAAGCGTGGATATTTTGCAGGAACTCTTGAGCTAGGCTCATTCGCTGCTTTCGTTCACGTTCTGATTGGTCCATTGCGGCTGCAATCCCAAGAAGGCTCGGGTGTAAGTGGTCGCTTGGGCCGATAGACGCCGAGGACGACGGTTAATTTTACGCAGCCATATTGGTGCTTGACTCTGCGGTAGTTGAGATAGTGTGATAGGTTTGAACTAATGGATAATGTGGGTGGTGTTTAAATACAACGGATCTTGTGTAGAGCTTGTTGGGCAACTTATGATCAGAAGTGGTTTTGGATATTGGATTGATGTGGTGTTAGAATGACATATCCCACGTGATATTCTGTAACAGCACATTCTAATTAGCTAGTTATCACACAATGAAATCCTCATGCTCATTCACTTCAATTGATACCTGAGCGTGTCGCATAGTAAGCAGGCATTTGACGCAAGTGGCAGCACGCACGGTGAACCTCAATCCCAAAACGACAATACGAATCAAGTTTTGTATGCTGAATCCTATTCGGCTAGCGTAGATAGAAAATGGGGGATTACCTGCAGATTAAGACGTTGTAGCCCTCTGGAGGACGAAGGCTGAACACCTGTCAGTGGTGCCCTCTACGAACCTGGGAGTGAAATATTCTGCCAGAGCCGAGAATCAGTCACGAAAAAGGGTGGGATGAATTTTATTTGATGGACTGTCGACTTGAAGGAGTTGCACTCGATCTTTTGGTCGAAAAATCAGTCGGCAAAGATTTCACAGCCAGAACAAAGTCGAACAAAAACTCATCACCACCAACATACGATTCACGAATGGGCCTAGGTCTATCTGAGAGTTGTATTCAAACATCTGACATCTCTCAAACTCCTTATATATTTGCGACGACCCATATCTCAGCCGATCTCACACCTGCGACCCACCTCTATACTCGTCACGTCACCTAACTACACACTTCTTAATGAGGAAAGTCATGATGGAAAAAGGACATGTGCAAAGGAGGAACAAAAGGGAAGATACACCGAGGGGATTACACAAATCCCCAATGACGACAACAACCCGACGGCACGATATGAAGGTGCAAGGCTAGAGCAAGGATGAAATCTTGGACGACATTTATATTTCGGAGTCAATGAGTATGTCAAGGGCTCGGGCGCGTGGAGGCCGAGGCTGAGGAGAAATATGCGCTTGGGCGCGTCAAAAGAGGGTTCTCTGGACGGTTTGGCTTGACATGATTCAACACATGGGTGAAGTCTGAGGTGGTCCGGTCATTTAGGTGGGACGAGGCACTTGTACTTTACGGTAGTTAACCTGATCCGGCCCGGCCCCACCCGTGCTTAAGCTCCAGTAGGAGTGCAACGGGAATCACTATACCTAGCACGTAAATGAACAAAACAAAACAAAAACGTTGTAGCCCTCTAATGGTTGGGACGAGTCTTGCACTAAACAATATCGGAATCAATCCTGGCCTCTCATTAACCAATCTCATGAATCTATGTCTGTGATATTAGACCAACATACAAAATCAACCTGTAAGACGATCAATAAATAGGATTGCAGGCCTTTATTTAAGAGTCAGAGTTGTCAAGGTCAAGTCCGGCTTTTCGTTAGCAGCAAAAGATGACCTTTCACTAGAAGAGCTCCTTAACTCTTTTGCGCTTTAAAGGGATACAAATATCAGATTGAAGCCATCCAAATTGCAACCTTTCCGGCGATAATGTACACACTGTCAGATCCCATGGCAACGACGAAGTCACGCAAATGACCAAATCGGTTCCCTTTCTGATTTGTCCACATGAGACATGCAAACCTGGGGCGTCTCACTAAAACTGGCAAGCATTCTTTCTCTATTAATCTGCTCGACCTGTAGCTGCGAAGCTCCACCAACCTCGTACACAAATGGAACAATGCCCTGTCAAGCAGAGTAAGAGGCCCGTCAATGAGTTTGAGACTGTGGGGCAGATCCATGAAGAGTTAGTTAGTATACAGAAAGTAGTTTCTGGTGATTCGCGAGAACGAACATCGGGGGGTCGCAGTCAAAAGAGGCAATTTTTGCCCCTTCGAAGCTCTAGTAACTCCTAGGGTAGTACCGAATAAGTTTTCATGTCTTTTTGGTATATTCAAAGGGGCCGCCAACACTACCAAAGAGCTCACGGAAACGAGGTTCTTCACGGAAATATGCCCAAATTCCCCTCTTCGGTTACATAATCAGTCTTGGGAAAAAAATCTCTGTTATCCAACATACAACAAATCTTCAGCATAGCATGTAGAGCTATGTTCAGCATTCTCGCAAAGCTCGGAGAAGCAGCAACGACTCAATCGTCTGTCTAATCTTTTGTAGCTTAAATTTGTGCCGTAGATTTGCGTTTTCCTGGCTTGCAGATGTTTAAAAAATGCTTCCTCTGGTGATTTGTCCCTTCATTATTTGATTGGTTGGGTGTCTCAGCTACTAGAGCAGTTAGCTCTAGCGTCCTTTACCACCAGTAGTAGTTGGTGCGTATGGGCTACAGGCCGTACTAGATAGGCGTAAATTCTACAAAACAAAAATAAAATCCAACAGTTTTGAATTTGAATTCGATTAACCCGATTAGGCACCCTATGGGTCCATGCAGGTGACTGCATTCATTATTTACAAAGGCGGAAACCAACTTGGTGAAAACCCCCTGATCCTGCTTGTTTAGATTACTATCAATTTGCTTAGTTTATCTTCAGGAAGTGCAGTTTACGCTGTTCAGCCAGTGTGGATTCCGTCCTCTCCCCTGCAAGTCGAAACTGTTTTATCCATCCTTTGCTTAGTACTCACTGTGTGATTCTAGCCACATCTTCTAGGCTTTAATTACTGCTTTAAATGACCTGTCTTTAGCTCGTCGGAGAAAGTTGCATCTTTCATTTGCCCACTGCGAATATGCTAACACCATGTGCTTGACGTTTTGTGACGGATATCCACATTGATAGCTTGGCTTTTTACTTTTCTTCTGCACAGGTGGGAATTGAGCCTTATATGCTCGCTTCTTAGCTGAATGGCGGCACTGCGTTGGATCCTGATTAGATTACGGTGGATGTTAAGTGTGTATCTTTTAAATTCATTTTAGTGCTGCCTGTTTGTTCAAATCCAACAGTTTAATAGCATTGAAGTGTGTGTGTTTATTGTCCTCTTGACCCTATGACTATGTAAGGACATGTAGATCCTTTCTGTCTACAGGCCGACCAGGATGGAAGCGTTCGCCTTGGAGGCTGTCAGAGTGAGCAGTGCTAAGGGACAACTCGTAGTTTGGGAGTCCGAAGAGGAAGTCTGAGGATTTAGCGAGCCCTGCTCAAGGGTGTTGGCCGCAGTAAAGTAGAGCAGGAAACCGGCTGAAAATTAAGGTCATATGAGGGCTTACCATTTGGTCGGAGAGAACATGATAAAATGGAATTTTGAAAATATTATAGAAAGTGGAAGTGGCGGGAATCGTGGATTTGGTCCACAGGCAGAGAAATTCTTCTAATTTTTGTTTTTGATCAAGTTTTGAAGTTAGCTCTCACGCCTTGCGTAGGAATTCACACTATGCGAATGAGTTGAGCCTGTGAGCAGTGATACCCGTCTCTACCAGTACTCTACCCATATTTGGATTCAAGTTTAGCTTAGGACTTGTACAATTAAAATCATTATTTTCGAGGAATTCCAATGGTCGAATATCGCCTTTTCTCTCATGTTTCCTTCTCATCTTTGTCCAGCCATAATCTTCAGTTTTGTATCAACGTGATCTATTGAGACGCCCTCTGTAGGCAATTATGCAACGTCAATTAATCGAGGCACTATGAACCAAGCCATAAAATCGGCTACAATTTCCATATTAATTCCTGCGAGGCGAATACGTTGGCCCGCCGCATCTATCGACCCTCTACCTGATAATAGTCTAGACGATCCTTAAAAATGTACAGCGTGCAAGGAGAATTTGAAAGCAGGAGCGATGCGCATTCAAAGTTTGTACGCAGCCTCAGCAAGTAACCAAACCTCTTAGGACCTCTTGAGCTCTAGTTGTATACTCGCTAGGAACTGTGATATTACTACCGCCAGCCATGGATGCTCCTGGCCTGTAGGCCGAGTGAACCCACACATTCTCCGAAACAAAAAGAAAATAAAAAATCGAGTTGAATTTCTGCTCACAAAATCTATTCATGTATCTTTATCACAACTAGTTTGATTGCCTTCACACGGACACTCTTCATCCATACACCTTTCTATGTTGTTGAGCGCTACTCCGAAATATCTCATCCCACCAACGACAACTTCATCTTCGTTAAATAAGACATAATCTGTCGGAAAGGTTCCTTTTGGAAATTGTCAGCGGTTAAGGCACACTTCAAGATTAAAGCCATGAGGAACAAACCATTATCGTAGAGCTCTAGATTAGGAAGTATAGGGTAGGAGTAAAACGATCCTGTTGCTTCAAAGTTGTAAAGTCGGGGCTCATCGGGAAATCGATGTCCTTTATTGATGAGAGGCACTACCTTTGACACAAGTTTCTTGAGATCGGCTGATTTGTGTTGGTTCTGATCACATTTGATTATGAAACATTTGTCTTGATCGGGTATTGGCCGCTTGGTGGGAAAGAGGTATTCATCCTCCTCTGCTATCACTGGCGCTAAGATGCCGAGAAGCACAGCCATGCCAGTCATAGCAAGAAACTTCATTTTCGTGAGGCCTGTTGCTGTATCGTTTCGGAACTTGGTCAACTATGGATTTCTGAGAAGCAAAGTTCGAGATGGGATGAGTAGGGCAGATGGTGTGAGGATCAAATAGTCTGAAAAGAGTCAGCAGACGCTGTTCATTCCTTCGATTTCGAATGATCAATATGCCGCTGCTGTCGTGGACAGTTAAGCTTCCGTATTGAATCGACCTTAATCATGACAATTTAACAAAAATTTCTCTGCTCATTCCACCAGTTTCTAGTCATCACAGGCTAATTTCTCACAGTTCACCATGGAATTGATTAAACATGAGTGTCTACATTATTAGACTAGGGATATTATCAGGATGCCATGGGCCTCTCATCAAAACCTTGCCGGCAGTTGCCGTTCAGATGGGGAGTTGATGACTCATTGCCCGGCCATACTATGCCTAGCAACGACTAGAGCCCCACAGGCAGATAATCTCTTGTATTAATTTGCGTCAAATCTAGACGAGTCGCATTATGAATTCTGCATAATTTATATCCAGAGTATCAGCGAGTCTGGGCTTGGCGCGACAGCCAAAGACGACTGAGTCAAAAGCAATCTAACACGTTGGCCCGTTCTCTGACCCAGGCCACACTTTGTAAAATGATATCATCTTCTTTTGTTACTTGAAGCATCACAGATATGTTGCTCATGATGGGTAGCCATTCATCTTAACCTTTACCTGTGGAATTCAGCCTCCCTTTCTTGGTAAACTTTTACTGAAGGAGGGTAGTAATAGAAGCTGCATGCGCGGGAGAAAATCTCAAAAGCCCTGCAGGCCAGTCAGACGAAGCCTAGACACCTGAGCCACATGAGGTGCGCATATCTATCTACATCTCCGTTCTTTGTAACATGGGAGTTCAACTTGATTCAATCCACCATCTCCGTATCGGGTGCTGGGTACGCTCCGAAATCTCACCGGGTGGGCTTTCCTCCATGATCAAGAGTGGGTGATGAGTAGGGCTCCGACCCTAACATTTGATCTGATCGTGGTTAACTTCATGATAATAGTGCTAAGGGGGTTGTGCTTAGGGATGAAGGCGATATAGACCGCGAAAGCGATTGGGAATCCTCGTCGAAGTGAGGACTTTGTTACTCGATTTCGGCTTTACAGACTCTACAGTAAGAACTTGACATAGCTATATAGCTGAATACACAGAAAACAGTAAATGAAAAAGAACCTTCTCATCTTAGCTTTCATTCATTATCTTACTTTATTCATGCCTCGAACCGAATTGGAGGCTGTTGTTGCATTGTACAACAGCTTGCTAGGAAAATGACATCCCATCTACTCTTATTAGAGCCTAAGCGGAGGGCAAGATTGAACACCTGTACGCGGTGTCCTCTACGAACCTGGGAGTTAAATATTCTCCCAGTGCCAAGTTCAGTCAAGTTTCGCAATATCAAAGAAGTTGGCCCACGAGGCAATGATTCAAATTACTTCACCACGTCGTTTTTTCGCTCCCAACGAGTTTGACTCCTATCTAAGTCTCATCAAGTCTACAAGTACGACCGATTACATCCTCATCCAAATGACCACACCTCTCTTCGACCTTCTCTGGCCTTAGTTGACCACCAAATACACGCCCACGCCTGTATTTATACCCGCAGGAGGAAGCAAAGCGTGGTGCACAAATCCAGGAGGCAGTTCTCTTGAATTGATGTGAGAGGATTCTGGACAAGCTTGCAAGTTGATTTAGAGGATGGCTCCAATCTCGACAGGCGTGAAGTTTCGAATTTTGTCAAGGAGATTTTACAAATTGAGCTTTGCGCGTGCCAAGGCTTCGGTCGCGAGAGTGCAGGCGACACCATAAACGTAGCCATGGTTGGATGGTGCGGTGGTACATCGTCTTGGCCAGTCTGCCAAGTAGAGTATGGATAGCTTGGATACATGTCCCACTTAAGACAGGAGATCGCTGGTTCAAATCCGGAAATACACAACCAAATTTCTCGCGGTGCTGGTGTATATGGATGATGAAAGTATGCTTGGATCACCAAAGGTTCTGAATTTCCCTGTGGTGGGTACTTACGGAGGAGGGTCGACTGTTTGTGCAAGCGAACATATCTCATAGTGATATTTGCAAATAAAATCCAGAGTATGAGCGTCTCAAACGTCAAAATAGTCAAAAGAGTCATCCAATATGTATACATAGCACCGGTCATGTGTCATGGCTTTATAGCTGCATACACATTAAATGATTTAAAAAAATGAACTCGGCGCCTATGATCTTGTTGAAGCTGGTCTGTGCGACTGCCTTGCTTAAATCAACAGCAAAGGCTGCCTTAGTCCATGATACTCCGAGTGAATAAGCTAAGAGCACGTCGCTGTATTTTTGTTGGTAGTCGGGCCGTGGGGTTATTTGTCGCTACTCAATGGCTTCGGCATAGTTTCCTTATTGGTCCCGCATGGTAGAAGATGAGTCAATGCCATGAATCGGAGAGGTATGTGTGTGTAAAGTAATACGCTAGGTAGTTGGAAGCACCTGACGGCTTGCGGATTGCTTAGGCTGGATTTCTTTTTAATTCTTTTATTGTCTTTTATAAGTCTATGACTGTGCAGGATAGGCCAGGCATACCTATCTAGTAGTATATCCCCTCCTGTGCCTCCCATACGGCTCCGCTCAAACAGCACCACCCCTCATAAGTCCTTATTCGATCATACACTTAGAGGAGCCCTTTGCCCTTCATTATCTCCCCTCTCCAACCAACGAAACGATGGCCACTTGCGGGTATATGGCAGCCGGGGAAAATCGCCAAAATCACTGGGTGCGGGCTCCTCTAATTCCCTAATACAGAGCCAAATCTGAAGACATAGCTACTCTTCTGAAATATTTGAAGTGAACGGCCAGCTGAGCACCGTAGAATGGTGTTCATATAAAAGAATCATTCCCTGCGTCATTCGTCCCACAGGAAAATTTGCGGATCGTCTTGAATTTTAGGAAAGTTCTGATAGAATGTGTATGCTGTAAAATAGCCTAAATTTTTGAGCCGTCTTGTGCAGTGTAGGATGTCATAGAATTATTGATAATGGAAGTCGTTATGGTTGGTCTTTGTGATGGGATCCGAATTGGTGTTGACTGCCCTATCTTATTCAACTACATGAGAAAGGAAAAAGTAGTACTGTAGCCGTCACTGACAGGTACTTCCATAAAGTAATATACTTCGTGAAACCGCTGATTAATTACTTTCCCTAGACCTATAAATTGTCACCAAGCCAAGTACTATCAAGAGTTACCACGTTGTGATGTTGCTAGGACCTAGTTAGCAGTGCCGTTTCGACAACTTTGACCATCCATTTCCATTCAGTCGTATCGCAAATATCCTTGATATAATGCTCAGGTTTCCCCCTAAGCTCAAACAACGGTCAAACCAAGCCCAGTGATAGTGAGATAAGTCTTGCAATGCTTAAATCAAAGATTAATCAAGGTTCTCAACAAGACTGACTAAAATATCTTCATTCACAAGATGATAAGCAGTGCAAGAATCCTCTTTCATATAGGAAGAAATTTGATTGGAAGATTAACCATAAAATTCCATTGGTCCAAGGGATTATCAGAGGGACAGCAAGCGCCTTTTTCCAGCTCAAGTTTGGCCGTGGATACCACAAATCATATCTTGACAAGCGAAAACTAACCAGCACAGATAGGTGTGGTTGTGGGAAGAAAGAGACACCTAATCACTTGCTGCTTGCTTGTAGTAACTATAGACATGAACGGAATAAACCAAGAGAAAAACTCAACTTCAATTTGAGCATGAAACTTCTACTTCACACTAAAGTTGGCATAGAAAATACATTGACATTTTTAGAGGAGACAAAAATATCAACATGGAAGTGGCACACAGAGAGATTGGAGAGAGAAGCTGCAATAGACAGCAACATTGAAGAGATGGAGAATTGAGATTGGGGGAAAACTAGGGACAATTTATTAGGGCTTGACCCTCAGGATCAACTGGCATGTAATTGTAATATTTACATTATAAATTAACCTTTAATATGAAGAGCCATTTAAGTAGATCTTTAAATAGTCTTTCATAGTCTAGGACTCAATAGAGACTTAAATTTAAATCAATCAATCAATGGTCAAACCGTAACCCTATCGGATTCGATCTAGGCTCTGCAAAGCCTACAGCAAGGGAGAGGGGATGGTAGAAGCAACATTGAAGGGTATAAGGTCGTGTCCCTCAACCAGCTTCTTGATTCATTGGATAATCTGATGTGTCGGATGAACAAAAGAATTATCTTCCTAAGCAACGTTCAGCCTTCCACAACATTTAGTATCAAAACCAATGTTATTTATGGTCTGTGCATTCGAACTACGGAATTTAGTGATGTCCGAACCGATTAAGACTCTGTGCACCACCATGAGCCACAGTGTCAGGATACACTTGAGAACAATCCATTCAACATTTTTTTGAAATTGCACCAACACCTTGAGTATGAACGAATCTCTCAATGTGATTGCGTTGATATCTGGCGGGAAAGATAGCTTCTACTCCCTCATGCATTGCATTGAGAATGGACACAGGATAGTCGCACTAGCCAATCTTCATCCACCCCAGACTCAGCCTGATGGCAAAGAAGAGTCTCCATCGGATATGAATAGCTTTATGTACCAGACTGTGGGCCACACAGTAATCCCTCTCTATGGAGAAGCACTGGGGATACCACTCTACCGATGGCCTATTTCAGGCATCGCTGTTGACACTGGAACCACTTATGGAATCACAGGGACACATAACGAAACTCATATCACGCAACCGAACCAAGATTCTGTAGTGGACGAAACCGAATCTTTGGTTCCATTGCTGAAATGGGTGATGGGGGAAAATCCGAGTGCAAATGCCCTTTGTACGGGTGCCATTTTGTCAACTTATCAGCGCACGCGAGTTGAGGCAATATCTAACAGGCTTGGTCTCATTCCACTCTCATATTTATGGCAATATCCAAATCTACCACCTGGTACCCAGATATCTTTGCTAGAGGACATGAAGTCTGTGGGACTGGACGCCAGAATTGTCAAGGTTGCTGGTGGCGAACTTGATGAAAGTTACTTGTGGCAAAGTTTGACAACTGATCATGTGATCAAGCGAGTTGAGAAGGCCACCCAAAAGTTCGGTACTCAGGATGATGGATCATTGCTAGGTGAGGGTGGGGAGTATGAGACACTCGTTATTGACGGGCCTTTACATATATTCAAGGGCCGAATCGATATTAAGGAAACAAGTCGGCATATCATCACCGAAACTGGTGGGACTGCTTGGCTTCATATCTCAGACGCCAAAGTCATTATGAAGACCGACCCTTACTTAGCTATTAAGCCCGTCCGAATTCCCCCTCAATTTGACCCCAAATTTAGCTCAGTTATCAAAGCCTTGCAAAGTCCGAGACCTCAAACTGACGTCTTGAGCTCCCAAGAGAGGAATCAAAAAACTCCTACGGAACCTCTTCATGTTTTGAACGGGGATAATTTGAGTACTTTTATGGTTCAATGGACAATGAAGGTTTCTGATAGTCGTCCCATCGCTGACTCAACCTTGGAGCTCATCGAAAAGTTCAAGCTAAAATTAAAAGATGAGGGGCTGAAGCCAGGTAATATAGTTTCCAGCATTGCTATCCTTAGATCCATGCAAGACTTCGCTGTCATCAACTCAGTAAATAAATAACCACTTTTATATAGATATGAATCTGCTGACGAGGCCCTGAAGATTTACGAGGAACTCTTCACGGAGCCCAATCCTCCAACGCGAGTCACCATAGCTTGCGGCCCGAGTATGGGAGCGTATACTAATCTCATTATCCACTTCACCGGCCTACGCCCGTCAACTGACTTGGTGACTACATCTCGGAAAGCTCTCCACGTACAATCGCGCTCCTACTGGGCCCCGGCTAATATCGGTCCTTACTCACAAGCCGTCATCACCACGACCGCCGTGAATGAGGAGGAAATTCAAAGCGTGTCAACCGCGGGCCAAATACCGCTCGTGCCTCACCTCATGAAATTATCAAACACATCGCTCCTTCCTCCAGCAGTCTTTGAAGCGGCGCTCTCTCTCCAGCATCTGTGGCGCATTGGCATTGCGACTAGTGTCGGCTGGTGGACAGGCGTCATTACATACCTAGTGTGCGATTTGGGCCACGCTTGCGATATTTCTCAGCGTGCCATACTTGCTGGCGAGGCATGGGCGCACCTACATCAGGCGCGACCTGAAGACGTGAACGAGGAAACTGCCGACGAAGAGGTGGCTGATCTTTGGGAAGTGAATTATCATGCTGGCTGGCGTGGCCGTGGTACGGCACGGTGCTCACATAACCTCCCGGACTGGACGCTCCTCGAAGAGCCTATGGGAGAGAGTGCGAGGTTCCGTAACGTTGTGCCCCCCCTTTTTGCTGTCGAGGTGGCTGCGCTGCCGCGACAGTGCCTCATCGAGTGGCACGCCCTGCTCGGCGTGGTGCCGAGTGGGAGGCCGCTTGCGCCCCGTCGTCTCGTTCTACAGCACAGTGTCATCTACCAGCTGCGCCTCAGCACTCAGCACCAACAAGTCATCATCGCCGTTGCCTTCCCATCCAACCTCACGCAGATTAGCAGCTACGTTTACGAAGCCTTCTCTCACCTCGGCTGGACGGCTGCGCATGCTCATATTGGAGGCCTCACCTATTGCGACGCTCATCTATCTGAGGACGAACCTGTCTGGTGGCGTGCCTGTGGCACAATACCGTGTCACAGTCTGTGGAGCGCGACGGGCGAACGATTGGGTGTGGTAATAATTAGAAATACAATGATCTCCAATGTTTCGGGGTAAACCTGAACGCGTATATTTAGCCACGGTCATGCAGCACAAGGCTCCCCATGAGACAACTTCCATACACTCATGAAGTATAATAGGACCACAAACCGAGCCAGGAAATATCACAATTAAGAGGGTACATCTCATGTCATACGATTTATCCCTCTAAGATCGGTCTCGATATATTTAATTGTGAATAATGAACGAGCAAATTATCCCCAAATTGTATCACCATAACTACCTATTGCCATGCCAGCCAAGCTCCAGCCACTAACTTCAAATTTTACCATCACCAACGCCACATTCTCTATTTTCATTAGAAATTTTGTAGTCACGAGCCATCTTGCTTCAAGCCTTCGGGGATGAGCTTGAGGTCCTTCCGCTCAATCCTTTAAACGAACTCTATGTGAACGAGAATCTTTGCCTTTTTTGCCCTTGTGTTTTTCTTTGGGGAAATTCATGTGCGTATCTTTCAGCTGTTTTTCCATAAACTTCAACATGTAGCTATCTACCGGTCGAAGTGGTTTTCCCCATGCATTAAGTTCATTTATGGACTCATCAATCTCTATTGCGGCGTTTTCGTCAACCTCATTATCCACCAATGAAATAGATTGTGCGCATTTATGGCCCCCTGTGGTCGTAGAGGTGTCTACAAAGGCTTCATTAAAATCTGCTGCGTTTGTTTGCGCTACTTCTTGCTCTGCCAAACTGGCCGCAACGGCATCTTCATGATCTTCTGCTTGAGCAAATACACGCTGTACTTCCTTATTGCCGTGACGACCGAGGACTCGATCTACGACGGCATTAGTGGCAGCATCGCCATCCAAAAGTGCCGTACTTTCATCTGTAGCATTCTTCTCTAAGACCTTATTAAAATAGTCGGTCGTGAAATCACCTTCTTGGATGACGATATCATCGAGTATTCTTTTCTGATTAGCTTTTCGTAAGATGTTGGTTTCAATAGTGTACTCCGAAATAAGTCTATAGATATGGACATCTCTAGTTTGACCAATCCGATGACACCGATCTTGACATTGCTTATCCATCGCTGGATTCCAATCAAGATCGTAGAATATCACAGTATCAGCACCGGTGAGGTTAATTCCCAAGCCCCCGGATCTGCTAGATAAGATGAATGCAAGTATTCTTGAATCATTGTTAAAGCGATCAGTCAGTATCTGACGTTGTTCAATTTTCGTACTTCCGTCAAGCCGAAGGTATTTATGTCCATGAATGTTCAAGAATTTTTCTAAGATATCCAGTACTTTGGTCATTTGAGTAAAGATCAAGGCACGATGACCTCCAGCTTGTAACTTACGAAGTAATTTATCTAAAGTCTGAAGCTTTCCACAGTCAAACTGCAGCAGTCGTTTATCGGGAAATTGAATCGATAACCTCATGCGCGCTTCATGAAATGGATCCGGATCTGAAGTATTTGAATTATCTAGAATAGAATCAAAAAGCTGTGGCGTAAACAAAAGGGAACTCATATTCTTGACTACGACTGCTGGTGTTGTACACGCAAACTTTTGCAACGTGCTTTTTAAAATTTCTGCACGATTTGAGAGAGGTACAAGCATGTTCCGCACGGTATGAGAATCATTTTCAAGCCATTCAATGATAAGTTTTCGACTCTTAGGCCGCGGGTGATAGCTACCTAAGTCTAAAGTTAAAAATTCTACCAAATGGCTTCCATATATCGGTTTCTGCTGCCGTCGGAGAGCATTTATATATACACAATGTTTAAGCTCTTCAAAACGATCCCATCTCGAGGTACTTTCAAGATAGGCCAAGTTTGATTTTACAGTGGACGGATCGTAGCTAGCGAGGAAATTTTTTGCCTGAAAACCTTGAGTTTCACGCAAATCCATCAGTGTGCGCTGATAACTAAGAGTCGCAGTACGAGAGCATGCAGCGCTCGATAATTTCTCAAACCTGGTGGGTATTAAGTTTAAGAATTCAAGACTAGCCTTGGTCATAGGATGTTCGTTTAACAGGTTCCTACGAATAGCAAGTTCCTTTAACCCGTAGTCGGTAACAACTGACTCTTCCATTGAGAATGAAGTCAAGATTGGGCGATCGATAAATAAATCGGGATGGTTGCATACCTTGCGAAGTTGCATTAAACAATTGATAATAGACAGGTAATTTCCAGAAGCCATTGTTTCTTTTGTATCGTTTCGACTCAAAAATCCATCATACAGCTCGCGTTGTCTTTTTGATAGTCGACAGTACTCGATATGCTCGTATTTGGCAGGCATTTGTTTTTCGACATCAGTCTTCATTCTTCGTAATAGATAAGGCCTAAGAATCTTGTGGAGTTTTCTAATTATACATCGAGATTCATGGTCTATCCGTTCCCGACCGTGCTCTAAAATCTGATCTGATGGCTTTTTGAACCAGTCTTGAAACTCCTTAAGGTCTGCGAACTCTGTCATTCCCTTGTTCTTTCCGTCGGAAGGCATTAAAAAGTATAGCAATGACCAGAGTTCAGTTAGATTATTCTGGAGGGGCGTACCAGTAAGTAGGAGTCGTGCTCGAGTGTTAAAGGTCAGCATAGTCTGCCATCTCTGAGAATTGAAGTTTTTAATATTGTGGGCTTCGTCCAGAATCATATAATGCCATCTACGCCTTTTAAAAACTTGTTGGTCTCGAATTATCAATTGGTATGATGTTATGCATACATTCCACATATCTTTATTTTTCCAGCCTATCCGCTTCTTCTTCCGCTCATCTATTGTACCATAGTAAGTCATAACCTTGAGACCTGGGCACCATTTCTTAAACTCCATCTCCCAATTGAGTATAACACTAGTTGGAACTATCACAAGATGCGGTCCCCATTCCTCGTGTACACAGGCAAGATGAGCTAGGAGAGAAATAGTTTGGATGGTCTTTCCAAGGCCCATTTCATCAGCAAGAATACCATTAGTATTATTCGCATATAAGCTGGCTAACCAGTCGAGACCAAAGTGTTGATACTCCCTGAGAGTGCCTCTCAATAGGAAAGGAATTTCGGTTTTTATGTGATTAACATTAGAGCTAGGATCACTATAATCATATTGCTGAGGCTTGGGAGAAGACATTAACTCCTGCTGTAATGTTTGGTTTTTGGCTTCGCAAGAAGCGAATGGTTTACTATGGTCGATGGTGCTAGGCATCGTGGAAGGAGAATTTTGCTTAGAAGAGTGACTGGATTTTTCCTGTTCATTTTTAAACCCTGAAAGGTGAATAATATCGTTGTTCATTTCATTTTGATGGTCTTCCCGTGATCTATCCGCACTGATTCTATTCTGAAATTGAGCATTAAAATGAATTCCATATTTGTCCTCGGATAGAGAATTTGAGACATTATGCTCTGGTGTTTCTAAATCTTCTAGAGTCGGTTTGGTTGGAGACTCTTTTCTTTCGTTGATATTGACCGAGTCCGAGCGAGCATGGGTAAAGAATCCAAGAATACCCGTCTCTTCAGTGTCTACATCATCCTCATCCTCATCCGTGTCCCTATATTGAGCTTCATCACTGGAGCTAACATCATCTTCCATATCAATAGACTCATCGCTTTCATCATAGCTTGTTCTTGATTCAGATTTACTTTTTTTCTCAGCTGCAACCGAGCTTTGCATATCTACGGAAAATTTTGAGCCCTGGTAGGTCGATTTAGGAGAGATGATGGGCTGTAGGGAACATTTATCGCGTGGTTGCTCAACAGTCATATTTTCATCATCTAAGACACCCGAGATAGACTGAGTCTCACTAACAGCTGGGTGCTCAGAAAAAATATTAATCTCTTCGTTATCGGAATCTAGTTCAATTGTTATTTCGTCATTAACTATTTCTGCAGCATCTTCATCACATGAACTACTCGAATCCAGGTATGCTCTTCTTTGCTGTAGCTTGCGTTGCGAAATATCAACAGCCTCGCTTAGAGCCTTCCGTATCCGTACCTGCTCTTCAGCTTCCCACTCCAAAAATCGTAGACGATTGACCTCAGCCTTTACATTATCCCAAGTTATCTGAAGCACCTTTATCAGGTTCTTATATTTTACTCGGGAAGTAAAAGTGATTTCAGCCTCAATCTGGTCGGCAGTTTTGGGCTGTCGAAGGATCCACTTATCCCTACATGCTTCAGCTAACCGTTTTGCCTGGATTCGGTGGTTCTTATGCTCTATCTGCATCAGTCTCTTGAGCCCAATTGCAGCCTTGCACAAATGGTCTAGGTGTGAATATTGTTGGGGAATTGATTGTGAACTTCCAAATCTGTTAGAAATCCAGCATCTTTCGGGGGCTAGTATGCCACCAGAACTAACTTCCTTCTCAGCCCGGAGAATGATGTGAGCATCATCAAGTGCACTTCCGTGTGGATAATCTGAAGGATAATCAGGATGGAGTAATCCACCTTCATTTATGTGTTTCGATGCAGCATTTTTAAGATACTCTCGTAATCCAGAATACTGGCGTGGACGCAAGAGTACTAGTCCTGGATGTATCACTGGTAGAGATGGGCTTTTAAAATGTAGCCTTATCTTTGCTCTACTTGGCTGGTTTTTATCAACGACTTCTTCATCTTTGACACTAGTTGTAGGCCTGGTGATATCCTCGGGCGACAATCCATGTCCAGAATCTAGGGAGCCATCTGGAGATAAGGGACGTCTTTCTTTCTGATTCGGAAAGTATTTGCGAAAGGCCTGCTTGGGCGGAGCAACTTTTTTTGTAATTATTGACGAGGAAGTAGAATTTGACGATAAAAATTTTGGTTCCTTGGCCAAGGCGTTAGTAGTTTGGTATGATCTTATGGTAGACTTTTTGTTTCTACCTCCCCTCAATCTTTTTTGATCGTGATTTGAATTAGGGACACTCGGAGCTCGCGTGGGTCTTTTATCTGAAGGAGCTTGTAGCTCAAGTGGAACAGGATTTACGCGCCCAGAACGCCTTCTTCCTTCCTGTGTAAATGTGGAAGGACCATCTGCCAAAGCCTTTTTCCACGGTGGGGAGCCATTTTTTTTTCGTTCTAATTTCTGTCGCTTGAGAGGAGGCTCTTCACTACGCTGGAAATTTACTTTGTCCCCTAGCGGAAGTTTAAGCTGGTTGGTGGTACTATGATTCATCTCGCAAAGATCCTGTAAACTTGTTTTGGCTGGAGGCAACGTGAACAGGTCAAAGGTGCTCTGCTGAAAAGCGACATTTGATAAGACGCGTCGGATCTATCTTTCATTGCTAGTTCGTGTTACGTGCACATGGCCGGAATATAATATAAAACCAATGTAATGTGCCTTTTGTATACGTAAGCAATAACGCACAGACCATACAAAGACACAATACTCTGCATGTACCAGTATTTGGGCACTTGGGTTATATAAAGGTTGATTCATAGCTTACCTGAATATCCTATCATCAAGGTATGTACAGCTAAGTCGACACTTTATTTCAGAATGAAACACCTTACCACCCTCAGATGTTACAATCGCGCCTCCCGAGGATCGCTGCTCGAGCAATGCGATCCAATGTCCGGACAGCACCCGCACAAATTCGAAGAGCCGGACAACTAGCGACAGAGCCGGCTGAGTACGAGTATCCTAAGCTTGTAAGTCACCTGCAATAGATCTTTTTAGAGGGCGAATCAAGTCATTGCAATCAATGGATTCTCAAGGCTCGATTTACAGATACAAACGACTGATAAATGAAATTAGACAGAAGCAGAAGACCCCGGAATGGTTAGAATAAGCAAATGAATTCAATGTCATGGCTGATTTGGACAGAATGGAGGATACATAAACCCTCCACGCATAAAGAGACAATTCCGTGATCCATATGCGAATTGGTGGGATAAGCAGGAGCGACGAAACTTCGGCGAGCCCGTACATGAGGATAATGATATATTGGGGATGTTTAGCCCTTACGAGGTGAGTAATCCAACTCACTTTATTCAATTCACTAGTTTTGCGAAGTTACCAAAATAACACAGCAGAATGCTAACATAACGCCACTAAGTATACTCATGTAAAGCCTAAAACTGCCTTTCTACAAATAGGATACTTCTTCGTAGCAGTATTTACCACAATGGGTGTTGTGTCGATCTAGTAAGACTCCTTTATTTCGCCAAGATACTACGGCTACAAATTCTAATGTCACTGGTAAATAGTTATCCTGATAAGCCATCAGCGCCTAGAGTATTCGAGGATGGACTGGAAAGGGAGCTTGGTGGTCCTGATGCTATGAGGGTAAGCCGAAGTTGAATTGGAAACAATAAACAAGCTTTAACACGAATTCAGGCCAGAGCCCAGGGTGACAAATGAGTGAACGTCAGGAAAATATCGCTATAGAGAACTAGATTGGGAAATGCACATCAGATCTATTATACAGACAAGCCGGAACTAGCTCCTTTGCTTGACTAAACACAGACATGTGTCGGGAGAACCAAAATCTTTAACATCCCTCGTCCCTTCCGTATGTGTACTTCAGTATCAAGGTCACTATACCTTTTGTGTGCTTATAGATTAATTCAAATTTCAGAGGTCCTCAGTTCTAAGCTTCAACAAATATAAAAGACTGTATCCCATTTTTGCTACCGACACTATTGAAAGATACTGGTTATTCACTCCATAATAATATGCGCTATCAGAACTGGGACGTGCTCATATTTCCTGACCAGTCCAAAGTCCCCCAGCAAGAATTCAAGACTTCTTGCCAGATTGTTCAAGACTCAGGTGCGGTGCATTCATCTTTCATTTACGAGGGCAATATATTCTAATCAGTCTTTCAGAAATTTTTGATCCAGATAGACTGATACCAGTACTTCCCACAGTAACTTGCTTTATTCCAAGTCTCAAGGCTGGTAATGCTTTTCGAATCTCTATTCATAGCTGGGAAAAGCCAGAGTATACTCATTACAGTCTTGGATTGAAGAAATCCAATAGAATAAGTTTTGAAGCCCGTGTCTATATCGATGGTAAAAATTCTGGGTAAAATCTGATATAAACTTTTGGTTAGTGATTGTTGATGAGCCTAGATCAAAATTATTTGACGACAACGGCCCGTGGCCCATTATTATAGACAGGGAAATAGGTTAGCATTTTTCGCTCAAGTTTTTTTGCTTAACTGAGCTTTGCAAAAGGATTGGATACCCATCAAAAACCAAAGGCACTCAAGTTTCCTGCCTTTCATAAAGAGCTGGTTTCTCAGAGTTATTGGAGCCCAGTAGATGATCTCGGTCGAATTAAAGTAGTTATTACAGAGTGTATAGCTCGAGAAGATGCTGGTTATCAGTTTGAGCGTATTAAGAACATGTTATCTTTCTCATTTCAACACGCACCGCTTCGTAAGTTTGATATCAATCCATGAGGATTTGGCCATCTATTGAGGTCACACTTCTCTTCGGATATATTAATACTCCAGAAAAGCTTACGTAGCCAGATCTATTGGAAATTTCCTCCATAGCTTGGCCTAACCTAGCTATGTGGCGACGGGTCACCGGTGCTTTCTCACAGAATTTACCTACAAATAACAGGATTAACGGTGGGGAAAACCATGAATCTTGCGCAAAATCTCCACAACTCTTTACAAGTCCTACCGGATCTGCCTACGCTGGAGCTGTTCTTTCTCGACTAGTCTGCAACGCGAAAGAGGTTACTAATGATTATAATGAGCCGGATAATATTGCCCTTAATAGTTGGCAGCAAAGTTCTGATGTTCATGCGTCACAAGATGATACGAGAAATAGTACTTGCACATTTTGTCTACCTAATCTCGATTCGCTATCATCTGAAAGCGAATCAAAGACATCACTTGAACAATACGAGTCTATGGCACCAGTCGTCACGTCTCGAATTAAGAGGAAGCGTTTAAACGACGAATTGGCATCTCCCTCCAAATTTACGACGAGTACTGGGGAATGTGGGTTCTACTAGATCAGATCAGGTCAAGTGACTTACTAACAAATGAAAGATTTAACAACGGGCAACGATGGAATTTACTCCCTATCGATGCCAGATTCGAGTCTCTTCGATTTCCGAGGCCTCCGAGAGTCAGAGGGGCTATGCGATATGGAGGCGAACGTTAGCAATGACTCACAGGTGTTTCACAACGAAGATTTATGCACGTTTACCTCTAGAAGTTCATAAGAGGTAGATTGATGCTAAAAAGTAGATTGCAAAAAGAAATTTCGTTTAAGGCAGCAGTGGAGCAAAGTTCCTCACGTTTAGTTTAAGAAAACTATTCTTGCTAATTGACACGTCGAAGGATCGGTAAGGAAATTACATGAGACCAAGCTGTTGGTCATTAGTAATGCCCATAAAAGTTAGGGAAGGGTTCCTTGGTGTGCGTATAAATTACTAATTTAGAGAGTAAATATGGGATCATCTCTAGTCTCGGGGTCTAAATTAATATTACACTCCCATTTGACGGCTAACGCTTGACTTCCCGCATCGAAATCGCTCAACTCGTTCCTTTGATATGGGAGGCTAGAGATCTCTCGTTGGGATTGATTTGGACGAAAGTTCGTATCTCTCCTGGGTCTTGGACTGTGGTGGACAAACAAGTTTCTTCGCAGCTTGCCTACCGGAAGACCGCTCTGGGTATGCAGTAGAAAGTAAACCTCGATATCTAAAGCATAAAGAACCAAGAGGAATAATATCAAGGGGCAGCGGTACGCGTGCAAGCTTCCTTGGTGCCGCGGCTGGAAAGCAATTCTAGGATCTAGTGAATATAATTACAGTGATTTTCCGAGTGGCCGTGCTCGTATACGCCGTTTCGCCGCCCAAGTAACCCATTTTTGTCAATCCTTAATGTGCGCACGCCATTCGCCTTGTAACCCAGACATTAAGCAAGAGAGAAATTTTGGAGCTAAAAACAAGTAACAAAGAGAAAATTGAGATACCACTATCGTGGAAGGCGCTAGGCTATGTCTAGCCGTTAAGTGGCAGCGCTCATCTATTCCCTACGTTTTCCCATGCCATTTCCTTGGCCGCAAGAGACAAGGTTCGGAAGCTAGAAATTGGGTTTATCCAGTGTGCATCAGTAACGGCGAGTATTGAGTCGCTTTTATCTAAACCGTGACTGGCAGATTGAGCCGAGGGAGAGGCGAAGGAAACTTGTCAACGTATTTTAGGAGCTTTTTGGACGCTCCGATATGCTCTATCGTCACTGCTGCGGTCTGAGAAAGTGGCAGTGTAGAGGGGCGTAGCGGAGGGAGTTATGCGAGCAAGTCAGAGACGCATTTTTGTTTAGGGTGGGTGGAAGAAAGCTCTTTGATGAGGGCCATCAAGTGGTGGTGGTGATGGCGGACAACTAATGGAACTCGAAACGGCCTACTTTTTCCGGGACCCGCCCGAAGTGATTTTGGAGGTGGACATTAGGTCGCCAATGTACTTTTGAAGAAATTTGTTGTTGTTGTCGAGCTTATCATGTTCTTCCTTGACGGCCTCGATGCGGTTGAAGATTTCGAGGAGGGATTTTTGTAGAAGTTTGGCGTGTCTATGGCAGCGGTGCGAGTTAGCGGATGGCCTTGACTTGGGCAGGAAGGGCGTGGAAATCATACTGTCGCAGCTGTTCTCGGGCATCGGCACTCATCTGCTCCAAGTCTCGCGTGCTACGACGAGGACTCATGGCACGCGCATCATCCTCATCAAAGACCTCGTCGCCCATGCGCAGCTCGACATGAGGGTGCTCGCGCGGCACAATTATGGTGCCGCTACTCTTTCGAGAGGTGAGACGTGGGCGGGAGGGTGTCGTGATGGTGGGCGTTGTGGCTTCGTCGGCGTCGTGGTCGCGAGCGGTGGCAGGCACAGTTTCAGTGGAGGGCAGCGTCGGCGACCGAGCAAGAGAAGCCGACATGATGTGGTGGTGGTGATGGTGGTGGTTGTGGGAGGGGACAACAGCGTGGTGGAGTGGCGATGAGGGGAGAGAGAGTTGAGATGGCTGGGACGATGGCGATGGGTGGGAGTTGTTAGATAGTGGGAGGATGGGTGGCGGGAGGATTTTTGACGTTTCAGTGACGGAGGGGGCAGGATGGATGGGCAGGCCGGGGAAGAGAGCGGAGTAGGAATAGGGGGGGCAGCGGCGGCGCTTGGACGGCGTGGACAGCAGAGCTTTGGGGGCGGTTTGATGATGCGGATATTGTGGGCCGGGAATGCTGGGCGTGAAGGGGAAGGGAGACGAGACGAGCAGAGCGGTTGGGCTGAGGTAGCGATGGCGGCGGATCGAAGCTCAGCCTTATGGACACGGCGCTGTTGCTCTTTTCACCATGCCAGCCGCTGCCGTCCAGGCAGGGCAGGGCAAGGCAAGGCAGGGCAGAAGGGCTGGCAGCAGGACTGGTCGGCCATGAACGCTGCGAGCGAGCGAGAGAGAGAGAGAAAGATAGCTGCATCCCACCAACCGTTGATGCTGGGCTGTTGCCATGGAGCGCCGCCTGCGTTGTAGAGTGGCAGCACCAGAGGAATCCAACGTCGGAAATGGACCCCCCTTGGCGCCCATTTTCTCATACTCACCCTGCAACGCTGGCAGGCCCCCGCGAGGACCCGGGGATGAAGATGCGCCCTCCCCGCCCCTCTGACATCATGGTCAGTTGGCGCGGGAATACGGCGCTCCATGGTGACATCATCTCTCTCGGCATGCCCTATGACGCCGGGATTGGCCTCTCTACCGCTGACGTCAGACCTTCGCCGGCGTGGGGACGGCTGCGGCCAAGGCGACTGGCGCATCTTGGCACCCGCGCCATGATTGGCGCAACGGAGGCCAGGGAATTGGGATCGTCGGTCGCAGTGAGCGGCCTCGCGACAGCAGAGGAATATCGCCGGCCCGTCGACGCAAGGCGATAGAGCGGAAACAGACGCGCCGGCAGACACCAACATGGCGCTTTCTCTTGTTTAGAACCGTATGATATGTAGTCGGCTGTAGCTTTGGCCCATGGTCAGTGTATTGTCTACAGGTAAGATAGATTTTTTGGCTTCAGAGACGCTCTCGCAACGGATAGCTTGGCGCGCACAATGCTCATCAATTTGTCAAACTCACGGGCAAAATTCGAAATCCAACCCCTCTCATGATTGGATGTATGCGTCCCTAGTGTTGTTATGTCTTTACGTCCTAACGTCTCTCACGTCCAGCCCGAAGAAATGTCTCCCGGATGCCGGCCGACGATTTTTCTCCTGCTGTGGGTATTCGTATTCTCGTGGCCGTGAATTTTTGAAGGCCAGAGACCAAGTCGACAAACAGTGTAGACACTGGAGTGAGGATGTACTCGTAATTTTGATGGGGCGTTGGTGAAAATGGATGTAGGTGGGAGGAAAAGATTGATGTTGTAGGGAGTCTTGAATCATAGGCTCGTAAGTCAACTTCTTCAGTATTACGAAATTCGACAGAACTTGGTTCTGGAAGAGAATTCCAACCCCAGATCTGGAGGGGACACGGCCGACAGCTTGTCAATCTTTGTCTCCCTGAGGCATTTCCTCGCTGCCGTCACAATGCTCCACCAACAAACCATGTCGTCTCGCACTGCGTAATCTCAGCGACTTCTTCCTCACTAGCCAGGCCCTGTCATAAGTTTCCCGTCATTCTCCGCTGCGCATACTCGCGGGAGCCGAAGGCCGGGCCGCATGCTACCGTCTCGCCACACCCGAGAGGAAAGTTTAGGTGCTACAGCCGGCCATGCAACCCGAGAGTCGACATTCCCGTCATCTTGTGGTTCGAAGCGCTCATGATTCGCTCACACGGAGTGCGCTGGGCCGGCGCAGGCGAGAGTTGTGATGGCCGATGCATTGCATCCTAACAAACGGTGTTGCTCCAAACCCAGCGGCTTTGTGACTGCCCCTTAACACACAAACTACAGGTTGGCCCACCTCCCAAGACGCACGTGCCGCACAACTTATGCCTGCACCAATAACAACGCCTGTTGAATCAACGCTGCATTGAGGCCGCCAAGGCACGCACACACGCACAAATCAGGCTACTACTGGCTTGGGCACTCATATCTGCATCGCTTGTGCGGAGGTGAGAAGCACAGCGAGGCGGAGGCAGTTGACAGTCCCAACTCGTGGCTGAAGAGCCGAGAATGAGAGACTAAGAGCTCTGTGGCCTGTGAGGACGTGCGCGTCTCGCCGTCTGTTTCGTATCGTCTTGAGCCGTCTTGAGCCTCAGCCTCTCGTCTTGGCTTGCAGCGCCGGAGACATGAGCTTGATGCCGTCGCCAGTCCGCTTGTCAGGGAGCGCCGATATATCCAAATAACCTCAAAGCTAGTCTCGCCCGGACTTTTCATGCTTGTAAATTGTCTCCACAGCGTGAGGCATGCGAGAAAAGTGTTACCACATGAGCCCGGCCCGGATAGTCTCGTGGTATACCGTTGGCGTCCGTGTCGACGTCTTATCCGCCCTGTCTCCTCACGTCGCTGCAGCGAGGCGGCAAATGCCGGGGTCCAATGCAGCACAGGCCAGCCATGTGTTGCACGTCGCCGTTCCGAAATGTCATGGCTGCATCAGGCCGCGGGAGCCGGTTCCTCGCGAGGCGCCCGCGGCCTGGTGCACATGGCTAGTGAATGTAACGTTTGGCATCAACGCGCCCTCTCTTGTCCATCTATTGTTGGGCTCAGACTGCCACCGGGTCTAGCACGACCAAGTCAATCGTTTCGCTCCTCGCCTACATGACTTCCTTGTCTCATTTCCTCGATACACAAGGTCTTGATGGCCAGGGCCAGTTGATGCGTGGATTCACGTCTTCAGATCGCCAGCCGCCCGCCGCTTAATAACATGGCTCAGAAAGACTGAGGCGAATCGTTGACCTTTACTTCAGTCTAGGGAGATTGGAGACATGTGTGTGGGAGACCAATGACTCCTTACTATGCGCACAACGACGCCGAACTGGAGGAGAGCAAAGCCTCAATACCTGCCATTCATGTCTACCCCGAATCCGAGGGCGAAAGATTCCTCACAGCCGATACCCTGTCACGCCTAACGGTAGATTCGAGAGCTTTCGACAAAGGGTATGCTCTCTCTGGCTCGAGAACTCGATCTACAGGGGGTCCGCCACTGCACAAAGCAACGACTTCCATCAATCTTACCAATTACGAACCATGGATAGGCCAATTCTCTCAAACGGTCGCACTACAATAAAAGACGCCACTTAGTCTCTTGAT